CATCTATAAGGGTATGAGAGAAACGTCCACTGCTAGGCATCCCGGCCATGCACATAGGACGGTCCACGTGGTGAGCGCGAATCATCTCCGGCAAACTCCTTCCCATCGGAAGGGCAGGGGGCAAAAGGGCAAGCTCGAGAGTTGCAGCTGTAACGTAGGGTGACAAACGTAGAAGGCATACCCTCAGAGATGCAACATGCTGTATCTGACAGGCAGATGCATGTTCATGAGCTCTTTTTGTGCCTTCAAGCCATTGGCAATCTCTCTCTACATATATAGATATAGATATATGTGATGTATTTCCCTGAAGTACTGCAACCTTCAAGCAGCCCAAAAACAGGCGGCGACACATATCGCTTCCACGAAGCCATCGCCCCCGCCTCATCCGCCCCCGAGGAAGAGCAAAGTCCGCAACCTCTCCGAGTCCAAGCCGGGGCCCTCCGCAAACCCCCCCCTCTTTGGCTCCATGGAGGGTTCAGTTGCTAACGCCCTGATTTCTCCAACAAGGAAACTAAATCATACTGGGGAAAGCACAAGATGCGGATTTGCATACTTGTTGGGTTTTGTCCCCTCAGCCCTCGCAGGCTCTCGAGAGCCTGCTTGATTGTCCCCATCAATCTGGGGACCCCAAAACATGTGTCATGTCCTGTTGTGTCCCTTTCAGCGCTCCAAAGAAGTACGGAAGGGAATTGACTGGACCTTCCAGCAATTCCATAAAAGAACATCGCTCTCATACTATGCGACAAAGAACAAGCAGGAAAGCTGCTGAAAATAAATGTTTATAGGGCCGAAAACGGAACCTCGCGGACACTTGCACGTGGGGACTCCAAACTAGACTCTTGGAGCTTGCCAAGAAAAAGCTCCGGACAACACGGAGCCCTCCTTGATTTTTCATCTGGAGGGACCCCTGCGCCGTTTGGGCTCGTGTGCCGATGGTGGGAAGCAGGCGGTGCGCTTGGTGCATGCCACGTATGCAGTTGGCAAGCTCCAACCCTGTTGCGCTAACTCCGCTCCCGGCGGAACTCCCAACTCTCAGTACACGCCAAAAGGAACATGCCATCCAGCGATGCCATCCCGTGACGCAAGGCCCTTGAAAGATTGTTTCCTTTTCAACGGGGACCTTCCCTGCGTCTCAAGTTAACCATCACAAACGTGCTTGGTGGAAAATGAAAAAAGGCTTCGAACCATTCCGTGCAAGAACCCAAGACTTGTTGGCAAGGGTCTTCCCCACCAACAAGAAAGCAAAAGGCACCATGCCCATCCCCATGGGGCGAGATTCCTCAGCTCTCGCCCACCGCCATTCTTGGACCCTGTTTTCAATAAATCCCCAAAAAAAAAAAAAAAAAAACTTAAAGCTGGGATTCCCCGATGGTTTCCAGGATTGTTGGGACCCATGTTGGTTTCAGCTTGCCAAAGCAAGCCCCCCAGGTTGCCCCGGTAAACATTGCGCCACCAGGCGAAAACAGAGGGCGATGTTTCAACCATCCCAACAAGGAGCCCGGTCTTCTGCCTGCGAGTCCCAGATCAGCTCATCTCCCTCCAAGCGGCGTGCACTCCGGTGGCCTACTGTATCCTCCATGCAAATGAACAAACCACAGACAAGAACTCGCTGGTTCACCAAATGAACATGTTGAGAAAACCGGGTAAAGCCGTCCCCAGCTTCTATGTTGAAACTGGGCACGTCCTGAAACTGGGAAGTGGTCCCTTTTGTGCTCCCCCTTTAACCACTCTAAATGGCAAACGGGGATTCCGGTCACATCTCACGTTCATGGTCTCTGGCAACACCTCATCCTTGCCCAGCAAAAAAAAAATAAGAAGCTGATAGACCATCCCTCTTGCGTTCAACTCAGAGTCTTTGACCCAAGCCGAATCCAACGAACAACATGCCTGGTGCAAAGCTGCGCTCGACTTCCACGGGCCCTAGACCTAAAAGGAAACTCACTGCTTGGTCTTCTCTGCAAATCGTCTCACTTCGTGCTGGTTGTTGGGGAAGCCTCCGTTTCCGAAAGACGTCGAAGCTGAGTTTGGCCACACCAATAGCAAGTTGGAAGCGCCCCTGACAAAGAACGGGCCTCAGGCTCGGTTTTAGGTCCCCTTCCATCACAATGTCCGCCATCTTGCGCCTCGCCAATGTAGGCCCAGCCGCGGTAACCTCATGGATACAGACACGGTAAAACACTTGCTTCTGCAACTTGCATGAAATGAATGAACTGCATTGGGTGACGTGTGGAGTGCGGCTGCATGAGGTTCCTTGAGAATGGATGAGGTTGTCGTAATCCTTGAGGAACAAGCATACTGTAGTTCATTGGTGGTCAAGGCGAAATGCATCAAGCACATACAGGGAAAGCAGCCTTTGAGGGGGCCGTCTTACCTAATGATTCACTTGCTGATCATTAGCGCTATCGAAGTGGCTGGCCGGAAAGAGCCCTGCAACCCGCGGGGCCAAGAGCAGCTGCTTTCCTGAACAACTTCTTGGCCCTAGCCTGAATGATCAAAAACCTGGCAGCAAAAAGCGTCTTAGCTTGGAATCTGGACAGGTAAGAATATGACGTCTGCGGAACATATGCCTTTCTGTGCGGAAACCATCAACCAAGCGAAAGGGAACAAAAGATCCAAAGCCAACGTCCCCTGCATTCGGACAAAGGTTTGCGGTTGCAATGCTCGATCAATATTTGGGTGCTTAGCAAAGAATCTGTGCACCATGATGCAAGAGCCAACCAGATATGTCGGATCCACTCGAAAACGGACATCCAATCGAAAACAAACTTGCCTTCGCTCCCCAAGAAAACCACCAAAAAGGCGCCGCCAAGTTAGGAATATAATTCCACTTGGACCTTTTGTTGGACACTGTTCGCGTGGGAACTTACGTCCACCTCCACCAACCACTTGTAAGGTTGCTCCGTATTGGATGGTCCCGATTTATGGGGGACTGATGAGCGCTGCGGGGTGACCCAAGTTCCATTGTGGATTCTGAAGGATACTAGGTCATCTCCAGCGCGAAGGGATGGCTCAAGTCCGTTTTGAAATCTGAAGAATTCTGGGTGATCTCCGCATCTCATTCACTTCCATGTAGAACTGCTTGACTTGCTGGCTAGAAGGGAATCGGTTGGAATGGCCAAAAGCAAATCATCAAGCTCCTTGTTTCTCCAAACAGGACAGTAAGAGTCATGTCCAATCGTTCCAACCAAGAATATGCTTGAAAGCCAGCAACAGGGTTGTCTTGTGTACCTGTGTATGGGCCTTTGTATGAGTTTGGAAACCTTCTTAAAGCGCATGCCTTGAGTTCGCTTTGTGACATGTGAATGGCCAATCATACCAAGCAAAACAGCCGCTGCCCTTTCCCCATCAACGAATGCCAAACAGTTCCGTTGCACATGTGGCATGTCAAATTCAGGCGTGGGCATGTTAAACAGAGGACCAATGATCCGTCTGAACCACTTGGATGGCTCGAAATCGCTCTTTTTGACAGCAAACGCTGAGCGTTTCACCCTCCTCCTCTGAGCAGCTCCTGCGGAGATTCTGGTCATGGATGTGCCGTACGCGGGACATCTTTCGGGTCGCGCCACCGGCAATCTTCTTGAGGAATTGGGAAATATAAGGGCCTAAATATTTAGACTGTGGGGAACTTTAAAGTCGTTTTTACTCATGATTATAGAAGGATAATTTGTGTAATTGTGTTTGGCCCCTTGTATCAGAGCTTCCCCAAATCGTTAGATTGGCAATGATATTGGTGATTTGGGAACGGGTCATTTGAGAGCCCGGACCCCTTTCGAAGGCGTCACAAAGAAAACCGCCCACTCCAAAAAGAAAATGCTGCTAGTTAGGCTCCCCACCATGACCACTGGTTGATTCCTGAGGGTTTTATCTCTCATTTTGATGGAGCAACTAGTTTGACGCAGGCTTCCAAGTAGAGAAGAGTTTTCATGGAGCCCCCCAGACCCCCAAGACGATGGGAAAGTGCAAACCAGCCATCACGACGTGTGGAATGAGAAGCAATACGTTGAGCTCCTCATTTGAAAACAACATTCCCAATCGCTGCTGCCTGCAGAGGCTCAAGAGTACCTCAAGGGTGCGTTTGCCGATGGCAGCCACTTCTGGAAGTGTTCACCAAGGGAACCAGGTTTATTCAATCAACAAAAGTGCCTTCTCGCACTTAATCGCGGGCTTGTCCGACATAGAACGCCGAAATACCAACTAAGCGGCTTCATGGGTCAAATCGCTCATTGCCTACTCAATTTCGGTGCTGCCACCACTTGCCCAAAGACCTAAAACTCGAAGGCTGGGGCTCCTGACCAAAAATTGTTGCCGAACTAGGAACACCAATCATCAATGCGCTAGTGGGGAGCTCACACCTGCACCAAGGGATTCATAGTTCTTACCAGGGATTCTTACAAGCGCCTGCATCCTGTGCCAAGTCAGTCATAGTTCTTCCCCTTGACTTGTTTTTCGGAATGGCTTTGAGGGAACACAAACAGAACAAAACATCGGGACCCCCTTTTTGGATGCGAAGGGAAACACAGAGACCCATCTTAGCAAACAAGAACCCGATTTCAAGGAAGCCCACCACAAGCTCAAATCGAAACCAACAAAGAGCCACAAACGTTGGCCTCCCCCCCCCCCCCCCGCCCCCGAGCGAGTGCCTGTCGGCCACCACCAGGCAGGACACACCCAGAAGGAAACTGCTGAGGGCCCTCAGCGCCGATGACTCGGCGAAAGCCAGGAAGGTCCTACTGTGGATGGCACCACTTTGAAACCATGAAAAACCAGAATTTGTTGGTATTAACAGGAGAACCATCATTCCAGGGTTTCTTAGGTGGTGCAGGATTTTGTCCATCCACCGTATCTCTTTCAGCTTTTGATAGCTACGCTTCGCCACTCGCTTCTAAGACAGTCGCCGAAAGGGCGAAAAAGGTACGGACATGGTATGCTTGATGCACCAACTGGACAGAACTGGGATCCGATTGTAGCGGACATTTAAGGGCTTCTCAAGATTTTCGTCCAGGTTGGTTTAACCGCACCTCCACTACTTTTTGCTTTGGATGCTGCGTGCTGCGTGCATGAAGGGCCGCATGCAGATCTGTACCAAGCACACAGAACACGCAAGGGCTTCACGGCACCAAGTGCGCAAGCGCTGAATCGAAAATGCCGGGTTTAGGGCTGACAGTCCTGGTCCAACTGGTGCGGACACTCACGCGAAGAGAGCGTCGTCCGCCCGCATCCTTGGATTGGAGACCGGGATTTTGTCCAGGGCGATGCACTTCTTCTCGCTGGACCAACGGCCACCACTGGTGGTCAGCTTGAACCAGGCCTCGTCAAAGGCCGCGTCGAAGGCGGGCAGGCTGTTAGCAAAGTCCTTCACGATGCTGAGGTACGAGTCATCGTGCAACAGCGCCACATCGCTCGTGAGCCTCATGAGGCCTGCCGCCTTGGGTTCGCCGGCCACGCGCCACTGCCAGTGGCCGCCGGGGCCCTGCAGCTTCTCCCAAGAGAATTGGAGCAGGAAGTTGAAGAACTCATTGTCCCAGCTTGTAGGATTCGTGGTCCAGGGCCCTTCCATGCCGCTGGTGAAGGCATCTGTTCCCTTGCCAGTGCCGCATTTGCCAGGCCAAGGGTTGGTCACATCCTCCTTCGGCGAGGGTCCCGCCCCCGCGGGGCAGGCGCCGTGGCATTTGCCGAAGGTGTGGCCGCCGCCAATGAGAGCCACGGTCTGGGAGTCGTTCATGCCCATGCGACCAAAGGCGTCCCGGACGTCCTTGGCACTCTTCGCGGGATCCGGGTCTACAGCCCAGGACCCATCCGGCTGCTGCGCCACGGGACCTTCCGGATTCAGGTAGATAAGCCCCACCGTGGTGCTCCCCAAAGGGCGCTTGCAGGTGCCGTTCACCGCGCAGGGCGCGTACTTCTCCTGCTCTGGGCTGGGCCCCAAGTCCAGGCTCTCTGTGCCGTCTGGGGAGTCAATGCGGCCAGCGCAGTACTCGGTCACTGGGCCGCCCATGGTCTTGATGGCTGTGGTGCCAGCCAAGATAAAGAGGTCACCCCAGCTGAGGCCGTCCCCGTACTTCTCCTTGATGGGCCACAGCAGCCCGCGGGCCTTGTCCAAGTTCGTGTTGTCTGCCCAGCTGCGTTCGGGCTCGAAGCGCTGGCGGCCCCCGCTGCAGCCCCCGTGCCCGTCGGTCTCGCGGTAGCTGCCAGAGCAATGCCACGCCAGCCGGACGAAGAGCGGCCCATAATGCCCGAAGTCTGCAGGCCAGCACTCCTGAGAGTTGGTGAAGGCTGCCTGCAGGTCCGTGATCACCGCCTTGAGGTCCAGGGTCTTCAGCGCGGAGTCGTAAGTCGGCAGCTCCGGCACTGCAGCGTAGTTCTGGGGCGGGGTCCCGAACTGCAATCCGGGGCACGTGCCCAGGGCGCCCAAAGGCAGCAACGCCCAGCGAACCACTCGGGCCATGGCAAAACAAGAGGTTCGGACCCTTGTGCGTGTCGCGTCTTGAGATAGGCGCTATGATCCCCATGAAGGCAAGTAGTGGAGCCTTCTAAAATTGCCGATTGAGGCTTGGCCTTAGGTATGCTAGAACCCCTCTTCAAACCCCAACTCCTCTCAGCTTCCCCCACTTGGTGGTTTGGATTGGCTGTCTGGAGCCTGAGGGGCTGACTTCCCATTTACCTTCTACAGGAACCAGGAGTTCAAAATCCCACTCCAAACCAACGCAGATTTTCCTGAGCTCGCGGTTGAGGGGCCGAAGCCACCGGGGCATGTGGCGCCGCCGTCGGAGCCGGCTTCGGTCGGTTGAGCCTCCGGGCATCAGCGGCGGTATTGCCAGGCGTTCCAGCCGTGGGACCAGGTCCACCTCAGGGACTGGGCTCCGTTTCGAGACGACTCCCATGGGCCAAGCTGGCTTACCACTAGAAACATCTGTCAAGAGCTGTGGAAAATCAAGAGAAACCTGGTGAAGGTGAAGGTGCCACTGGAAACAGTGAAGACCAAGTTGGCAAAGAATGCCACAACAGGAATGCTCATCAAAAATGTCATGCAGGGCTTGTTGCAGCCATAATCAGGGTGCCTCACAGAGACAAAAATCGGCCTGCAAACTTGGCTTTGAGCACAGGTGACACAAACTATTGCTTCCTGCGAATATTGGCCCAAACAGCCCAAATTGTGTGTCCACAAAAGCCAAAGTATGTTGAGTCGTGCCTGGTAAAGTTCCCCAGTCAGAGTTGCTGCTCTTTTTCTGGGGCTACAGCATCGTTCCCAAACTTAGCATGGTCGCCTCCCACCCAAAATCAAGAAATCCATCCCTGGCAGGGGGGCAACACACGTGACGTAACCCTGAGGGATGCATCTCTCATGCCATCCAGGTACACAAGCATACATTTATGTATGTGTGTATATATATATATATTTAAATAAGACGTACACATTCGCCCATATCTCGAAATAGACGTAGGCGTGCATGCATACCTGTATGTGTGCACACATACATGCATTACATTTCATTTCATTACATTACATTACATTGCATCACATTACATTACATTAAAGTACAGTACAGTACATTACATTACATTGCATTGAAGTACAGTACAGTACATTACATTACATTACGTACCTACATTACAGTGCATTACATTACATTACATTACAATACATTACATTACATTACATTACAAAGCTTTGCACTGCATTGCATTGCATTGCATTGCATTGCATTGCATACCTACATTGCATTAAATTACATTACATTGCATTACATACCCACATTGCACTACATGACATTGCAGTACATTACATTACAAAACACTACATAACCTTACATTACATTATCAGACATAAATACACACATACACACATACATACATACATATATACATATATACATACATACATACATACATACATACGTACATACATACATTACATACATACATACATACATACATACATACATACATACATACATACATACATACATACATACATACATACATACATACATACATACATACATACATACATACATACATACATACATACATACATACATACATACATACATACATACATACATACATACATACATACATACATACATACATACATACATACATACATACATACATACATACATTACATACATACATACATACATACATACATACATACATACATACATACATACATACATACATTACATACATACATACATACATACATACATACATACATACATACATACATACATACATACATACATACATACATACATACATACATACATACATACATACATACATACATAACATACATACATACATACATACATACATACATACATACATACATACATACATACATACATACATACATACATACATACATACATACATTACATACATACATACATACATACATACATACATACATACATACATACATACATACATACATACATACATACATACATACATACATACATACATACATACATACATACATACATACATACATACATACATACATACATACATACATACATACATACATACATACATACATACATACATACATACATACATACATACATACATACATACATACATACATACATACATACATACATACATACATACATACATACATACATACATACATACATACATACATACATACATTACATACATACATACATACATACATACATACATACATACATACATACATACATACATACATACATACATACATACATACATACATACATACATACATACATACATACATACATACATACATACATACACATACATACATACATACATACATACATACATACATACATACATACATACATACATACATACATACATACATACATACATACATACATACATACATACATACATACATACATACATACATACATACATACATACATACATACATACATACATACATACATACATACATACATACATACATACATACATACATACATACATACATTACATACATACATACATTCACATACATACATTACATTACATTACATTACATTACATTACATTACATTACATTACATTACATTACATTACATTACATTACATTACATTACATACATACATACATACATACATACATACATACATACATACATACATACATACATACATACATACATACATACATACATACATACATACATACATACATACATACATACATACATACATACATACATACATACATACATACATACATACATACATACATTACATACATACATACATACATACATACATACATACATACATACATACATACATACATACATACATACATACATACATACATACATACATACATACATACATACATACATACATACATACATACATACATACATACATACATACATACATACATACATACATACATACATACATACATACATACATACATTACATACATACATACATACATACATACATACATACATACATACATACATACATACATACATACATACATACATACATACATACATACATACATACATACATACATTACATACATACATACATACATACATACATACATACATACATACATACATACATACATACATACATACATACATACATACATACATACATACATACATACATACATACATACATACATACATACATACATACATACATACATACATACATACATACATACATACATACATACATACATACATACATACATACATACATACATACATACATACATACATACATACATACATACATACATACATACATACATACATACATACATACATACATACATACATACATACATACATACATACATACATACATACATACATACATACATACATACATACATACATACATACATACATACATACATACATACATACATACATACATACATACATACATACATTACATTACATTACATTACATTACATTACATTACATTACATTACATTACATTACATTACATTACATTACATTACATTATTACATTACATACATACATACATACATTACATACGTACATACATTACATTACATTACATTACATTACATTACATTACATTACATTACATTGCAATACATTACAGTACATTTCATTACGTTGTTTTGCATTGCGATACATTGTATTACATCAAATTACAGACATTCATATCATACATATATACATGACATCCAGGGCATGTTGCCAAACAGGAGACATGGATTCTCTGGAAATAGAAGTACACTCTCAGGCCTACACCCGACATGGGGGTTTGGCATTTGCCTCGAACATGGCTCTCTTCCAGATTGCGCCTTGACCAGGGAATCGTAGGGCAGGATCTCGGCAGAACGATGTTCAATTTGCGGGGACAGCCGTCAAAAAAGGGGACCCTATTTCACACACACACACACACGCGCACATGCACATAAGGCCCACCCGGCCCAATCTTTGGGATTGGTGGCCAGGAGACTAAGAGGGTAGTTTTCCCTGTATGTTACTCTCAGCAAGAACAAGGAATCAAATCCCGCGTTCGCCTGGAGGCCTGGAGCTTCCGATTTGTGGGAAAGGCAGTGGCCAACAGCAGGGTGACTGGGTGACTCGGCAGAAAAGCTGGGGCTCCATGAGTTCCTGAGCTCCCGAAAACTGTTCGGGTGGGGACCATGTCATTGGCAAAGAGTTGGACTCTTGGCAGGTCAACCCCGGAGCCGGATTCTCATTCGGTTCCTCATTGGCCCTACAAGGCAGATGGTGCCCCTGTTCCTCCTATCACTTGTCAGAAGAGCACGAGTATCTTCAAATGGGTGCCCTGTTTTGAGGGTACCGTTTTAGAATGCTTTTCTTCAGGAACCACCAAATCCTCGAAGGTCTATCTCGAGACACACCCAGCTGGCGCGTTGGACGTTTACAAGGATTTCTACAATATCCCACTGAAAGTTGGAGATTGACTTTTTAGAAAGCTGTTTTTGCTTGTTCGCTAGCATCGGAGCAAGGGAGCATAAATCTGAGTTTCTGAGTTATCCACAATCAATCCTAAATCCCTACTAAGTACCGACACCATGGAAGCGAAAAAAAGGTCCTTTTGAGAGACAAATGGTATGGCCTGAACCAAGGACTCTTTCGTCCAAATTGCTCTGTGTATCGAAGTGGCCAAAAAGGAAGCGGTAAAGCATCTAAGGCACCCACTGTCATGGATGTGATTAATCAAAATCACAATCATTCGGATGTTCATCAGTGCCATCAAGGACAGATTGATGAACACCATCAACACCCTTTCATAATGTTCATAGTGGCAAGCCCGGATTCTCTAAACTCCAGAGATTGGCTTGCTCAATTTCTGTGAAAGCTCCGACAGGTTCATCCATCCAAGGCTCTATTAGTGGGAACCCATTGATGTCGAATGTGGGATGTCACCTGCTAACATTTGGTTGACTCAGGTGCAACTACGCAGAAAACCTACAGGGCCAGTGAAGTT